GACAGACAGCTTGGATCACAGCTCAAGCAATTGTCCAGAAAAGAACCCTAAATCATTTCAGATCGAAAAATACATAATATACATCTCAGATCAAAAAATATAATCATAGAATATACATATAAATAATATACATATACAATATACATAAACATATACATGGGTATGCATGGAGACAGTGAGAACATAAGGTGTAGCAGTAAACCACGTGGCTGTGGGCTTTGCTCGCACCCAGGCTTGGCTACCCTGCGTGCTTGATCTTAAGGGCCAACGATTCATATGAACTGTGATGCTTAAATCAAGGAAGTTTCTTAAGTCAACAAATAGCACATCAGTGTAATTTCCACACTATTCTCAAGCCTCACGTTTCATGTGTCATAGCTTGTTCTGTGATGTTCCATACTCAGTCACCAGTCTGTTTCTTTCTCTTCAGTATAGCTAATGTAATGCTGACTCCTTTGATGTGCTCATTAGCAGATTCAGAACATGCTGAGATACGAGTTCATAAAATTGCATTTTTACATGTAAGCAGTCTTTTACATTCTCTATTTCGTGGAGGTTTTTTAGTGGTTTTTTTTTCAAAGTGTTTCATTTGTCCCCAAAATAGTTTTGAGAGAATAGGAAATAAAACTTGTATTCTATATTTGCTGTATCTGTGTCTCCTGTATCTCTATATTTTTGACATAAATATAGAGGCCTGCAAAAAGAAAAAATACTTTCCAACCTTCTACCTTTCAGAAAAACAAGTGCCTTTTCTCCTGCTGCCCATCAAACTCCTAATAGTTGTTCAGAAAAATTTCTGCTTTCGTGTTTGAGGCTTATAAGGGTTAGAGTTAAGAAATGAAAGCGGTAACTACAAAATGGTTTGGCCACTTTTACTAACTTACTTGCATAAAAAAATCGCACTGAGTACGGTAGAGGTTGCGAGTCTTTTCTTATGTACCTGTGTAGATTAACTCAATAGCATAAAATTTAAAACCATGATAACAAGAATGAAGAGGATGCAAAAGCAAAATCCAGGGTATGAACGCTAATTAAAATTTGAGTCAGTTCGTGAAAAATATAAGCTCCAAAAACTTCAGATTTCCTAACTGGAATCAAGCTTTAACTCAGTAACTTGAAGCTGACTGTTAAAGTCCTGGGTTACATTCAAGAGCAGAAGTTTAGCTGCTGCTGCTGGAAGCAGAACGTAGGTGTAAGCGCATCTCAGGTGATTAATGTGTAATTAATAATACAGAACAAGAACCATTGTATACAGTTTGCACTTAACGATTATAACTTATATATAATTCCTATCCAACCTGCACAGTTTGTAAAATAACACTGACTATCACAATTCTTTAGGTGCCTGGAAGACCCTGTGTGGTGCAAGTAATGGATTTTAATTGATTTCCTTTCTGGATAGATTCCAATTGGTCAATAAGATCTTAGACCCTGATGTGTATGATTTCAACTCTTCCTCCAGCAGTGTCCAGCAAAGGTAACACAAAGTGTAATGCCATATGCTTAAATTCATTTGCAGCTGAAACATCCCTCCTGATGTTTTCCAGTCTTTTTTTGCCTACACAGTGCTTCACTTCCCTGGAAATCAGAAGGTGTAGAGCGTGCTGCTGAATGATGTGATGTGACAGGCTCCAATGCAGGTGCAATAAAGAGATACAAGAGGCAAATTATTGTTGGAGAGGAAAGAAATGCCTACAAAAATCTTAATCCTCAGTGTTACCTGTTTCTGAAACACGCTACTTAAACAGCATTCTTTTGTGTAGCGTCTTCACAGGCACATCTTCGCGCACGTTATTAATATGGCATCTTTAACAGACCTGTAATCAGAAAAATAGTTTGGAGGTGATACTGCATCGTCACTTGTCTTGCGGCTCGCGGTGCCCACGGGAGGCTGCTGCGGGCTGTCCCCGGTACCGAGTCCCGTGCGGAAATTACAAGTGTGTAACACACGCTACTGGCACCGAGGCCGGGGAAGCGCCCTGGGGCCGCGGGGAAACGCCTGCTCCCGTGGGAGCCGCCCGGGCAGAGCTCGCCACCGGCGGGCACCCCGGGGACGCCGGTGTCCCCGCTGATGCCCGGAGCGCAAGGCAGGTCCAGCCCGCGGGGCGCGGCCGAGGAGCCGCCCTCCGCCCGCCCCTGGCCCCGGCCCCGCCGCCTCCCTCATCCCTCCTCCCATCCCTCCCTCCCTCCCTCCCTCTCTCCCGGCGGGGCTCGGAGCACGGCGGAGCGATGTGGCAGTGGCGGTATGTCAGCGGCCGGCAGCTGGACGGCTTCCGACAGTACAAGGTGAGGAGCAGCCCCGGGGGTCGGGAAGGGCGGACGGTGGTCTCGATGTGGCGCCTCCGGGCTCCGGAGCGCTCTGCTCTGCCGCGGCCGAACGCGCAGTCCAGCCCTGCTCTGCCCACGGCCCCGGCCGGCCGGGCCGTCCCTCCGCCGCCGGGGCGTCCGCAGGGATGTCCCCCATCTCCACCTGTGCCCGCTCGCACCTGGCCGGGGTCCGGCTCTGATAGAGTGCGTTACCTGGGTATAAACTGGGTGTTCGCGAAGCGGCAGGTCTCGGTGGAGACAGAGTGAACTGGGCTTTGAGTGAGTATCAACGTCTTTAAATGCCCTGCTCGTTTTAAAGCAGCGTGGTTTAGGAGGCATCTGGTGTTTCTGTAAGAAAGAGTGCATTGATGATGCTTGTCTGGGTCTGTGCAAAGCCTTCAGACACAGGAATGCTCTGGCACTGAGAAATAAATAAGGAAGCCAGGAAAAAAAACACCTTACTTTCAATAATTTGAACTAAACCCTGTGTTTGCAAATAACAGGCATGCAGAATTCAAATGAATGGATGAATCATTAGATATTTAGTTTTACCAGTGTTATGTCGCAGACTTAGGATATACCTGGGCTTTGTTCCCAGCACATTGCAGGTGCAGTACAGGGGATCATCCAGATTTGCTCTAGCTGAGGTGCAGGTGTCTGAGATGGGCTATGCCACCCTGTTTGCACACACTCATGCTGCTCCCTATGAAAAGCATGTAGGGCGCTCCAGCCTCCACCTTTTATTTGATGTTCCGTTTCCCGAGGCAGCCCCTACCCCACACTCCCCATGATTCTTGTCTTCTTGCTTTTACCGTGTGCCCTCCCGGGCTGGCATAGGCCCAGGACACTCAGCTCCTCCCAAGCCCTTCCCTGGGCCAGCAGCTCTGCCTGCTCACCTCAGGGTGAATGGTGATGGAGGAACTGTGGCTTCGAGAGCTTTCTCCAGGTTGCTTACTAGGAACTTGTTTTGCACAGCAACTCGTTAAAATGTATCAGCCTGTTCATGTGTCTCTAGTGTGTGTGGGATAAAACATGCTGCAAGCTGTGTCTGGCCACTGGGTGTAAGTTGCACAGGCCTGTGCTTGAACAGTGGAGCCGCAGTCTTGACTGAGATCACCGCAGGAAAACAAAAAGCTATTTTTAGTATAAACAGACGTTGTTATTTAAGTAACCTTCCTAAAATATTTGAGTTCATAGTACAAATACAAGGAACACTTGTGTTACGTTCTTCCTTATCACTTGAATGAAAGTGGCTTCAAACAAGTGCAGATGGGAAAGAATCAAAATAGCATTTTTTAAAAAAAAAAACTTGTAATCATTGTGCCATACTTATGATTTGCAGGGCAAATGATTAACAAAAGACAGAATCACATATCAAACCATTTTATTTTCGTATATTGGTTTCTTGAGAGCATTGTAAAGGCCAGAAAATATATTTGGTAATTTTCTTAATTGTAGGACTCAGCCAACACTCTTGAGAAGTATCTGTTCAATTGTGTTCTGGAAAAACTGTGGTAAGTACAGGTTTTAGAAAGATAGAAATTTATTTAGAAATTTATTTAGAAATCAGATAGTCAATTTTCTATTACCTGAGGTGGCTCAGGATTGGAACATCCTGGAAATAATTAAATCCAAATGTCACAGGTTACACCCAGAGAAATACAGCTGCATGAGATGAGCTAGTGGGGTATCTGCACCATTTTCCTGGTGTTCCAGTTTGCAGGAGGACCTGGCAGGTGATAGCAGGTCTGCCCATTCCTAAATGCTGCTCACAGTAGATTAAAATTCTCAAAAAATGCAAAACGGGTGCAGCAAGGAGACACTAATCACTGCCACAATCTCTTCCCCCTCCCCCTCCCATGCCTAGGGCTGCTACCACAACCACAACTTTGTTCTCATCACTTCCCAGGCCTGAGACCTGTTCTTCAACCCCCTGTTGCCCTCTGGCTGCCATCTCCTCCCCTCAAATCTACAGCCTTACTGCATCCTGCTCCTCTAGCTTCCCATCTTCTGTGAGGAAATTGCTGCTGCCTTTCCTGCCTACTCAACAGGCGCTAAACTCTTGATTACTGTGCCCAGCACACACAGGTTACCTCTTCTTACAACCACCTGGCTATTTCTGTAGTGTGTTTCCTGGGGAACCTGGCTCTGGAGTATTGTAGAAGGATACATGGGCTGGCCTTGTGGAGAAATAGGTAATCTCTCAAAGGATTTGTTAGCGTATGTTTGATATTGAGCTAAAACAATGTGTTGCTTTTGGACATGAAGCATACCTGGGAAACTTTAGGTAGCAGTATCCGTGTCTCTGTTCTGCATCCCACTGCAGCATTATATTTGCAGTAGTATAAGTGGCTTAATATCCTCGGTACTTTGCACAGCTTGTCCACTGACCTGATCTGGGAGCTGAGCATAACGCAGCTTAAAAAACTAATTTGTGTAATCAACTCCTTTCGTAAAGGCAAATTTGACTTGAAAAAAATGCTGCTTGATTTTCAAAATTTTCACACAGCTGAATTAATTTCTCTGCCATGAATACCACAATTGTATGTCTCAGGCACTATCTGTCTCCTGTTCGCAGCTGGAGGAGGGCCTTGGCAACAAAACCAGCACAGTTCTTTGCAAAGGGAATGGCAGACCTCTAATGAATGCAAAGACTTCAGCACCCTTTAGCATGTCAGGTCCATGCTTTTGAAGCAAGTTTTCCCCAATTACCAAGCTTTGGTTTACATCACAGGGTGACCTCAGAGCACAAAAATGCATTCCCTTTGAATGAACCTAAACCAGCTGTACTAAGAAAAAATGCACAAGTACACCAAATACAATCAGTCCATACTATTATACTGGAACCAGCTTACTGTAAAATTTTCTGAAATCATTATAACATGGACATTGGATCCTCAGGGCTAGCTATTTCACTTTACAAATCTATTCCTGTTTATTCTGCATGTTAATGGGGATTTAGAGATTCAGTTTTCTTTTTACTGCTTAAAAGCACACTGAGAAAGGTGGAGATGTGATGATGAGACAGTTCAGATGCAACCCTCACTATTGCTGCCGTGATAATTCTGCCATCTTCTTTCCTGTGGGGCAGGTGGACAGGTCCTGATTTCAGGATAGTTGGGTGCTTGGTGATTTGCTGCAACTGTAGAGCAGAAGATGCTGATACTTGGATTTTGTGCTATTCCCTGGGATCTATAGCAACACAGTCTAAAGGCTGCAACTAACTTCTATTGTAGAGCTTAGGTCATATAATTTCTACTTTTATATTTTATCAACATTCTGCAGTTCTAGAGGAGCACCCGTGGAATTACTCAGCTGCCTTTTGTCTCTCTGTTTGGGTTTCTGTTGGAAACAAGCAATTCTGAGAAAGCCAGGTGATGAGTACAGATAAAAGCAGAATTTGGACCAGAATGCAGTAATGTCAGTGGTGAGTTGTTGTTGCCGTTGCATCTTCTCATCACTTCAGTTTTAGGATTTCCCTTGCAAATATGCCTTGAGTCAGCTTTTCTGCAGCACCTGTGCACAAAGGTTTCCCAAGCCAGAAAACTTTGATGTTTTATCGTGTTTCAGGAGAAAAGAGATCTAAGGACAGACTATAGAGACTTGACTCAAAAAATAGGCCTTGGAAAAGATTATTTAAAAAATCAGATATAACATTAAAAATTAAGGTCTATGGTTTCACATTTTCATCTGAATTTGTCAACACTGTTTTTATCCTCTAAGCCATTTTTAGAGGGTAATTTGCTGAGCGGATGAGGGTTGGGGTGAGAGGAAAGTAAGATGAAATCAGTGTAAAATGGAAACATAAAGAGTAATCTTAAGTTCTCTGTCAAAGTAGGAGGTTCTGTAAAATGGAATCCTACCTACAGAGCTGTCTCTCTGTCCCAGTTCTGTTGCTGTTCAATACTTTCATTAAATAACCGAAGGGAGGAAACTGTAAAATTTTCACATGACACTAAAGCATTTTGAAGAATAGGGTTATGATTTAAAATGTTACTGGAAAGTGGATACAATGGCCAGAAATCAGTATGAAGAAATCCAGTAAACACCTAGGGGAAAGAAAAATCAACATTTTGAACATAAAATAGGAGACAGCGGACTGCAGTAAAGATTCCTGGGAATCAGGAATATACTCTTGTAGCTGATGTACCGATCAGGTATCAGGTGGAATAATATGTCCTGCTTGCTTTGGCCCACAATTTACAGTCCACAGAATGACATTATGAATACTAAGAGGCTTAGAAAAGATGAACTGTGAGAAACAGTCTGAGTACAATGGGAGTAAGAGTCTAGCAGCCAGTTAGTCTTCATGAGTGCCTCTTTAAAGAAAGACAGTATGTGAGTTTTGGCTGCACAAAGAGAAATTTAAGGTGTCTGCTCTGTCAGTCTTGTGTTGATAAGGCTTGCTAGAACAGGTACTAAAGGGGATTGGGCAATCATTTATAGTCTTAAGAAACAGTTCGATTTCTCTGAGGGAAGATTTATTTGTCTAGTGTTGAGTGCTGATAAACAGTTGCTGACGCCTTTTTTAGCAAAGTTTTGAATTATGTATTCTCTTTTAGTGTGCCAGCATGGTCGTTTATCACAAGCAATTGGCTCATTACTTCATGGTAACTTGATCTGCTTCCTTAATATATACTGAACATGATCCTGCATTAGGTAAATGTGCTGGACTAGAAGACCTCTCAAATTACATCCCAGCCCTCATTTTGGTAGATTAGAGAAACCAGATCAGATGTATGATGATCATGTTTCAAGGCTTGATTGTTTCTCTTATACTGACTTACACCAAAGGAGCAAAGTGTGTTGAGTATAATCTAGTGAGTTCCTGTCTGGAAGTTCAGGATTCATCCAGATACAAGACTGGATTTCTGTGAAGCCTTTATGCTTTTCCAAGGCTACCTGTGTAACTATGAGATTTAGAAACATAATGGGTTCTGCTCACCTTTGTTGAACAGGAATTTTGTTTTCGACTCCAGTGGCACAACAAGTTCACATGATGTTGAAAATTTAGGATAGAAGACTCTCGTTTGCATGTTTATCTGAAACTTTTTAGGACACAGTTAATGGTGTTCATGATTGCATTTGGACAATTTTATCTATGTTGAGTACATTCATTACATGACTATTACATAGTGTTTTTGCAGATAGTATTTTTAGGTTTTTTTCCCTAATTTTTAATTCCAAATATTTGAAGGCAGTTACCAGTTTTATTTGCTATAGTTAGATTTTTCAAACCACTACAGTTTAATAAAGTCCTTGAATACTTGAGGCAGTGAAAACTAGGGTTTTCCAGGTTCTGTGAAACAGTGAGTCAACAGCCCACTGCTCTACATATAAAATCTTGTAGTCTCTCTTCTTCATGTTACTTTGATGGATTGGAAGGCTGGGGTTGAAATTAAATATTGTTAAATCATATGTGAAATAAATCAAATAATTCATTACTTTTATATTTTTTGTCACTTGTACTGGTGTGTCAGAGTTGTGGGCCAACTGAATACCTGAAAGACCATGTCTGTGCACACACTACCTCTTAGTCTTATCCTGTTGTAATGGTAGCAGTTCAAGAGCTCTGCAATCATTATCTTCCTTCTACACATCGTATGCTAATGAGCCAACAACATAATGAAATCACATCACAGAGATGCTACATTAGATATTACTTGCCGAAGGACTTTTTTCCCAATGATGGTGTTACTGTACACGGTTTTGAGTGCAATATTAAGCCCATGACTTTACAAAGGTTCATTAGATCACTTTTAGGACAAATACGCTCAATATAAAGTGTTGTATGCCTTGTTGAATATCATGAAAGTGCAACTACCAACCACATAATTTCATTTTCTTGCTTTATCAAGAGATGTTAGTGTTCTGCAATGCTTATTGGATTTTTATGTGTAGGATATGCATGTATACACATTTATATATTTACATGTATTTTTGTTTATTCATCTGTGTTTTAATAGAAGGCTAATTGCAAAGATGTATCTGTGATTTGGCTGTGGATTATTTGTTACAAATCTAGGCGAACCCTTCTTGTAAGGGTTGTTTTATAGGGGGAAGAATCTTTCTGTGAAGTATCTCCTCTCTTGTGCATCAGGATACTGGATAACAACTGGTTTTCGTATGTGATATAGAACCTCTGTTTAGCATCCCTCATGAAAACTACAACCCACTTTTAATCTGCCTGACCTTCTGGGCGTGGAGCGGTTTCTTTGGTTTCCCCAGAGATTTAGGTACACATTCTGGCAGATCTCCAGCTGCATGGGAATTTGTTGTACTGTTTGATCTTTAAAGGGCTGCTGGCACGTACATGTTTGCACATGCATAGAATCGTGATGTTGTTTCCTTTTACCAACTGTAGAAGACCAGTCTATGAAAAAAAAAAACGAAAAACATAAAAATCAACTTCCTTGCTATGTTTGAGCTTCTTTGGATGGCAGTAGTTTACAATCATTTTGTGCAGTTCCTTAAGAATATGCAGGTTTTGGTTTTAGTAGGATTTATGCTTTTGCCAATCTGGGCCAACCTCTACCTTTGTCCCTTTAGAGCAGCACATGTGCAACTGCCTTATGTTATCTATCACTTGCTCAATATTTAATCGTGTTTCTGTGCTCTGTGTAGTTATTTTGGCTTTGTTGTTAAGTGTTTGAATGTGTCCCACTAAACAAAACCTTTTCCTGAAGACTAATTAGGCAGCATCCTTAATAAAACTACTGTTGATTGAAAAATGGTTGCCAACTTCGAGTTCCACTGACTCTCCACCTCTCCCTGGTCTGGCTGCTTACAGTCCTGTCAGTAAAGAATCCGATCTTTATTTAGTCTCACATAGTGAACAAGAACCTCACTGTTGGGACCAGGACATTATGACTTCTTACCTCAAAATGTACTCCTCTTGCAATTGTGTTGAGTCTCTGATGTCTCTCATAGATCTCAGATTTCAAGAACAGCTAGTCAGCAAATCTGTCATCATCAGCCCTTTACTCCTGGTGAATGGGATTGTGGTAGTCAGGAAGCTGAACATGAGCCCTCAGTGTGCCCTGGCAGCAGAGAAGGTCAACAGCATCCTGGGTCTTATTAACTGTAGCATGGCCCATTAGTAAAGGGGGAAGTAATTACCCACCTTTACTAGGCTAAATCTAGAATACTGTGTCCGGTTTGGGTCCCCAATTCAAGAAAAACTGGAGGAAGTTCAGTGGAGGCCACCAGAGTAGTTGGGGCTGGAGCATTTGTCCTGTGAGGAGAGGCTGTGGAGTTGGGGCCTATTTTGCCTGGAGAGGAGATAACTCCGGGCAGCAGCCCCCTAGTACCTATGGGGTGGTCCTTGGGAGGATGAAGTCAGGCTCCTTGTAATTGTGCACAGTGGGAAGATCACAGGCAGCAGGCACGAGCTGAATCAAGGTATCTTCATGCGGCCTATAAGGAGAAAGTTTTCCTCAAGAATACAGTGAAGCTGTGGCAGAGGTTGCCCAGCAGTCACCAACCTTGGAGCTTTCCAAGGCCTAACTGGATAAAGCACCAAGCACTTGGTTTTGAGCTCCTGGCTGAACCTACTTTGAAAAGGGGGAGACCTTATGAGGTGCCTTCTGACCCGAATGATTCTATGATCCAAATCCATGACTCTGTGATCTTAAGGGAAGGACACTGCTCTGCAAGCAAGGGGATGTGCCCCTCTAGCAGGTACGACTCCCTAAGAGCATCCTGTCCTGACCCACAGCAATATGTGTGCCATGACCTCATGGACACGGGTTCATACGTACTTCCATTAGGCAAACAGCTATGGCCTATGGGTCAATGACTGTGTCAGGGTTCCTGAAAACCAGGAGGTCTGAATCATAAGTATACCTTTGCAACAAAGCATCCCCAGGACAGCTTTTATGTGATACATTTTATTTTATATTTTATGTAATATGTATGTTAGGTAATACAGTTTATATAATAACAGCTTTGTGATGACTTAGTAATACCAATCAGAATTGTTGAATTGCCCAAACCATGACACTGGGTTTCGAGTATTTGCTAGGAATAGTACCAGATGGCAGGAAAATATAACCATATTTCCTAGTTGTAGGTGTGCATAGGCTAATGGAATTGAAGGGAGCAAAGTCAGGGGGGAGAGAACTGCTCAGGAGGCCACCTTGAGCAGCCTCTTCCTTCACGGTGCCGCTACATCCAGCCCTAGTACACACAGCACAACCATCAGGTAACAGAGTCCACAACCTCAGAGTCCAAAGAGACAATTGTTTGCATCTAAGTATGCAATTACATGCCCTCCACTACCTACTCTTTGCCAGGATAAATTACAAATCCTGTTCTTTAGTTTCTACTTGTGTGTTATATGCTTCAACCCTAGATGTCTTAGGGATTTATAACTCCTGGACTTAGATATCAGTGACTTAATAAAACAAACAAACATATGGATAAGAGGAAAGGCAGGGTGGTCCAAACTAAGCAGTAGGAGATACAAAATCCAAGCCATTATTTATGAATAATTAACTAAATGATGCTATAATGTAAAGCAATGTTATTATTAGAAATAACAGAATTGTGTTTTGGAATATATCAGCGCTTTTAAACTGCTGAACATTTTGAATTCATTTGGCATCCATAGTGTTGTGTAGCTCTTTTGTTTATACTGTGATTCTCTTCTTTCCCTTTATGAGGCTTTTTTTAAAACTCAAAACTGTGTCTCATAATATCTACAAACCTGTAAAAACATATGTAAACTAGAATTAAACTCTATGTGTTTAATGTATTCTAGGAATCTGAAAGATGGATGGAAAATTGTTACCAGATGTGCCAGTATTTCAGTATTTTCTTTAATTTTTTTATGATTCCAGAAGTGTGAGGTACCACAGAATTCACGTTCACGTTGCATAAGAAGTTGCCCAGAAGAGTGATTTCCCACCAAGCTCTCTTTAAGTAGTGACTGGTTCATTCCCTGGGTTGGGAGGGTCATTTTGCAGCTTTCAAAACCACAAAAAAACTTATCTTGTGCAAAAGAGAATCCATTGTTGTGCCTCCTATTCCCTTGTCTGTCATTTAGAAAACACAGGTGTTGTGAAATTGTGTAATTGGAGAGGAGATGGTGATAAAAGAAGCCACAGGAAGGTGTTGGTAGCTATTGATGCCATGATGGCTGGGGGCAGTGGGAGCCCCAAGGCAGCAGGGCAAGGTGGGCCTGGCAGCCTGTCCTGTCCCATAATCAGAGCCAAAAGCTCCCAGGGCTGGGACCCTGTCACCGCCTTCAGCACCAGAAGCCTCTGCCCATGGGCACTAAAGGAAGGAACCATCTGTGCTGTGCTGGCCCTGGGAGGGGTAGCTGAGCCATGCACGGTAGAGAGTAAAACCTCAGCACTTGCTGAAATACTTTTTAATTTTATTTCAAATATATGCTGTGAAAGTCAATTTTTCAAACCTTTTCCATCAGCAGATCCCTCAAAATTTTCCATCAGTGATGTAGGTCTCTGCTTATAGGCCAGATGATGACAAGCTCATCACTTATGTGTGTTGGAGAAGTGATCATTAGATGTCCGGGTGGCATTGTTGAAATACACCGTCATGCACCTATTTTGGAAAACACTCTGAAGAGGAGTTATTTTCAATATATCACTTGTTTAAAGACCACAATTCTACCTCTTTTCCTTTTGATGTATTGATTCTCTGCTTGAGATTCCTCAGGCCTGCAGGACCACTTGTGTTGTTAGAACGTCAGCACATGGGTACAGCTGTGGCTCTTCCATACACGTGTCTGCCCCAGCTGAGTTTGCTTGCAGGAAAAGGATAGGTTTTCCAATATTTATGTTCTTCATTCAAGTCCTTATGTTGTCATTAGATGGTTGTCAGGTTTTCTGTGTGGGAACATGGAACAGGATAGCTAGTGTATTCTTCCATAATAGGCATCTAACTTCACATGAAATACTCAAGCAATCACAGAACCATATATTTCAATATACTGCAACCTAAACCATTATTACTGCCTGATATATAGCTGTTTTAAACATTAATTTGTCTGGGAAAGAAGCTTTTCAGCCTCTACATTTTTAAAGGCTTTTGTAGAAGTCAACAGAAATATAAAATTGAGTTAATATGAGCAGATTTTATATGAATAAATCAATATTGCTTATACTGAAATTATGTATATAAATATGACACCACTAACACTATTGGGGCTCTATTCTTTGCTCTATTCTCCAGCTATAGGGTGAATTACCGCCCACATGTGCCTCAGTCTCCCAGCATTTACAACAGAGATAATAAATCATGTGATTCACGAAGTCAATGAAAAATTAAAATTCACTATTTTCTGTGCAGGAATGTGAAGTGTAGTGAATTTGTTGCTACTAATACAAGACTAAAACCTACAGAGCCATTTTGATGCCAACAGTTCAAATATAAACAATTCCCAACAGTTTGACTCTGTATCTCTGAATGTATATGACTGTGTGACACAATATGGTGCTATCTGGGAAAAGATAATTTAAGTACAGGAAAGGAATAGTCTGTTAGCATAAGAAGCAATTTAAGTTGAAGTAACTATCTCCTAGCAGTTATGCAACTACATTTCTTGGGGTTTGCTTTCTCTCCTGACTCTGAAGTTTGTGTAGACATGCTTTATATTTTTCTCTTACTTGTAGTAATTCCAAAATTTTATTCTTGGGATACCTCCACAATGCAAGGCTGGAGAGGACTAGGGAGTCCAATGAAGATCCAGCTGTCTGCTCTGATTAATGGTTAGCTCGCTACCTGTTCTTCTGCTTTGTTTTTTTCTCCAAAGTCTCCTCAAGACAATAACTAGGCTTTGTTTTGGGAATAGTCCATTCTGGAGGCAGTGCACACCATTTTTGGCTTTCACCATCCTTCAGCACTCTTCCAGCATGGGCGTTTGGATTTGTGAACATGTGCAACACACGGTGCTCACTTCCATGCTCTGAACATGCCATGTTGCTGGGTTTCAATGTAGTCTCCAGATTGCTTCAGATACTTTGAACTAAAGTGTATTCAGTCCAAATAATGTGTTAGGTGTGCAGGGCCAGATGAGGAGGTCAAACACCCGTCCAGCACATGCTGTGCGGTGTGGATGTGACCAGTTTGAAATAAGGGGAGGTATTTCTAAGCTGTGTGGATGTGAGTCAGAAGGTACCATTTATATTCAGCAGTGCAGACCTTGGTCACTGTGAGTGCTTTTGCCCTCAGATGTTTGGCTCTGCTCTGCCACTTCAGAATGGTTGTCTTTCTTCTGTGTAGCCAAACTTTTGCTTTGGCTCATTTTTCTTTCTCTTGTTTTTCTCAATTACTTTTCTTTCCTTACTCTTACTTTTCTTAACTGTTTATTCCTTTTTTCCCCTCTTCCTCCTAATATTCTCATGTTTCCTCTCTACTCTGACAGAGCTGACCAGTACAAACTTGATGCTGTATTGGATCCCCTGGATGGAGATTAAAATGCAGGAACACAGAGTAAAAAGCACATCTCACGTGTGCTGCTCGAATCAACGTCCGTGTGTGCACGTCTGGTGTCTGTATTCTCATTTCCAGCTCTGCTAGAAGCCATTATTAACACCACGAGGGAAAGCAGATGGCTTTCAAGGAGGTTTTAGCTATTAAGAAAAAACTACAAAACAAAAAAAAACCCCAAACAACAACAACAACAAAACAAAACAAAACAAAAAACAACCCAACAGAAGAATTTTTAAACTTGGGAGTAAGATGGAGTCAATTAATGCCATTTTTCCTATTCCCTCACTCCTGCTGTTCCCTCCCAAATATTACAATTTCTTTCAAATGTAATTGACAGAAACTTTCTGATTATTCCAAGTCCTTCTTCTTTGTATAAGGTCAATCAAGTTCCCTTTTCTAGGGCAGAAATGCTTAGTACTTTTATCAATCTTGCACTTAAAAACCTCTAACAGGCTTATCCTCTTCCACTTCTGCCTTTTACTAGAAGTGCCCTGAAAAGGACAGAATTACACAATAGCAAATGGCAGTACTGTTTTTACATAAGGTTCAGTGCACTCTTGCATTCATGTTCACTGATCATAACATGAGCGTGTTACTCAGTACTTTGCTTTTCTGACCAGACATGAACATTAAACTCCTGAGGATTTCGTGGCCTTGAGGTTAGCAGCTTCTTGGGAGCAGAACAAAGCAGGGTATTAAAATAAATTTACAAGAATGCTGTACTTATGATCATGATTTAAACTTAACCACAAATCACAAAATAATTATCTGAATGCTTTGTTTTCTCCAGAAGGTAATTAAAACATATCCTTTGTATGCATAGAAAAAGGAAATGTATGGAAGAGTTCCTAAGCATTCCATAGGCTGATACCCTCAGAAAGATGAGATGCAAAGTCATAGACTGTGCATGCAAAACCTGAGGCATGCTTCATGAATCTTTTGTCCCACTTGCACTTGTCCACTGGAAGCTCTTAGCTCCCACGTGTGCAAGTTAGGTGTGTATGGAAAAGCTTGCAGATAGGGATACTGAAACTGAAATGAGTCTTGCTAGACTTCAGTCACCTAAAAGATGTCTTAAGTTTAAGACAAGTGTCTAGGCTGCTTTGATAATTAATGACTTGAAACAGGTACTTCTGGAGGGCAATCTTATCCAAAGGGTAGTTGGCTAAGAGAGGTCAATAAATTAACTATATAGGGAGAACAGTTAACTGTTAGCTGGAGTTATGTGAAACGAAAGACTCTGTCATCAGCTCTTCTGCATGTGAACAGCTTTGTCAACCTGTGGTCTAACACATCCCTATTTTGTTCCCATTGTCTGCACACGATGTTTGGACAATGGTATATATAGATATATCTGAAGATTTATGTGAGTCATATGCATCATGCTAACAACGTTAAGCAACATATGCACTTTCAAAGTCCTAGAATTTCTGAAATAATTACGTGTTTCACCCCAATGACGGATAACTTCTTCGACTGTGGACCTGCCGGAGCTCAAGAACATGATTGCGAGTGGTATTGTCAGTTAAGATCGTTCTTCTGGGGGTTCTGATTCTGTGTTCTGCAGCCTCAAGGCAGGATAAAACTTGATACTGCCTTCTGAGGAAAAAGCAGACACCAGCAATTTGGGGTGGGGTTGGATTTCTGAAATATTTTGTTTGCAAAAGGTACAGATATATACCTGTTGGAATTATAAAACACATAAAATATATTTACAAGTCTGTGCAATGGGAAAATTTTATTGTGGTAATGGACTGTGCTATTTTAGGCTTATTTTTATAATAACATTGCCTTACATGAATTAGCATAGTGCAAATGCAACTGTGTTACTATGACAAAAGCTTTGTATCTCTGCAAGATAATATTCTACTTATGAACATATTCCATATGCACTATCTATCCTAATACTAGCAAGAAACCACTGCTCAGACTGTGTATGAGTGGTAGTGCAAGTAAATAAATCCAAAATATGGTAGAAATGCAGACTCTTATAGGATAACTTGTAAAATTAATAAGAATTTAGCAGTAAAATGTGACTGCAGAGCTGTTTGCCAGTTCGCAAGCCTAAACCTTTGTGTTAGTACATGGGATTACTAATAGGGTAAGTGTAAACCAGGCCAGTGCTTTTAAATTAAATTAAACCTGTATGAATGGTCATCAGAACAAAATAAATTTACACCAGTCACGCTCAGAGTGATTGCTCTTAGATGCTGAAAAAATAAGCATTGTTCTGTGCTTTGTTTAACATGTTTGCTTTTTCCTCACAGTACAGTGCTGTGGATACAAATCCTTTATCTGTGTATATTATGCAGCCCATCTGGAACAAAATTATTAAGGTAAGAATTTTATTTAATAAAAACTTCACATGTTAATATAAGAATTTGTTTTAAATACATCATGTATTTTCATTTAAAAATATTGATTAATAAAGCTGAAATTAGGGCATTTGATAAAAGAAAACAAATGTTGCAGGATGTATACCTGTTTTTCATGGCTAGGCTTCATGAACGAAGATTTGGGAAGGGCCCTACCCACGTGTTTATACGAGTATGTTATTTTGAGATTTTATTTTTTTTTAGAAAAAAAAGGTTTACTTATTTTTTTCTGATTGCTACAGAAAAGGCATCCATTTCTTTTTTACATCTTCCATTAAACAGCTTTGCAGACATGAAGGGGTTTATTTACTACAAATTATTTTTGTGCAGCATATGCTGCCTAACAACAGCATGGCTTTATCTCTGTGCCGTGCATATGATTTTATGCAAGTGCTGTCTCATTTTCTCCCAAGGGTACTTGCTCGAGGGAGCAAGGCATTTCTTTAAGAAGCTGAAAATGAGAGCAGTTACCATGATAACCATAACGATTGGAAGATGCCATCTCTTGAGTGTGTTATGATCTGCAGTTTCTAAAAATAAACTGCTCACAATTAGTTGTGCTGTTGTTGGCAAAAAAAAAAAAAGCTCTTTATCTCAAATAAATATGAACTTTATTGATCTCCAAGAAAGCAATGATTTCGGCATCTGCCTTGTTACAGGAAATATTTAGATTGGAGCAGACTTGAAAATAAAGCTTTGTACTAACAAAAATGGATGTACATGGTCAGAGTGCTGTTGGATCTGCCATCTCTGGATTCTGTAATAAAGGTGTTTCTTATTCTTAATACAGCAGGAAAATCATAGTCTCTCATTTATAATCTCAAGATAATTTAATGAAAAGTGTTTATATGTCCTAACTTAAGAATTAAAAACTAACCCAAACATGTATGAGTAAAAAGCAATTCAAAGATGTGACACTGAATTCAGTAATTCAGTTCAGAGATTCTGTTTTCATTCCCATCATACCATTGAGGAAAACAATGAGGCAGAAAAGCCCCTCCAGCACTTTGCAGTCTGGCACAGGAGATGAGCAGAGGCTTTACTGTGCACTTGCACTTTGGTTTAGGAAATCCATGGGTATTCATCTGCTCTCAGATTGAAGGGGGTGTATTGCAATGCAAAACTTCCTTTGGAGATAAGTTCTTCTAATGGTTGCAGCATTCTACGAGAGGAAAAGCAGCATTCTTGAATGTCCCCATGTAGTATAAGGTGATAGAACCCATAAAAAATGGGACCTCTAGATTTTTTTAAACCTCATTGAGTTTTGGATGAGCATGATTTAGTTCTCTTCTCTCTGAAGGAGAACCCAACCAGAGCGAAGGACTGAAAACCTGTTTCAAAAGTTGGGAGATCTGAGTATGGAACCAAAGACTGGGGTGGCTGCTGTCTGTACTTTGCCATTTGGTTTGAATACTGAAGATACAGCACTGAATGTTCTACCTTGCCTTCTGGTGCAAGAGTGTTAGAGAATAATTCTCAGTGATGTGTTGCAAGGATTTAAAGGGAAACTATATTGCTTTCAGCTTTTGTAGAAGTAGTCATTCTAATGTTAGAAGATGCTATGTAGAATCAGAGTCCTGCAGAGGAGCTGGCAATGCACAGCAGCAGAAGAAAAGAGTATGTAATGGAGATTGCTCTTAGAGATAAAAATGAGAACTGGGAGAGCACCAAAATTGTTGCTATAATGGTTTTATTCCTGGCTAGATACTGAAACCAGATGTGGCAGTAACTGTTATTCCAAACTCAGTTCAAGAAAATTCTGCTCGTCTGAGCGCCAAAATACTATTTTCTCTTGAAGTGCAAGTACACCAGTGTTATCTTAATAAATTATATCTTAGTTTTAGGAGAAGCTTTGAATACTTTTTTTTTTTTTTGGTAACTTGTACCTATTGTAAGCATTATAGCTGATCTATGACCATGCCCTAGACTATAATATCCTGTGATGTAGAAAAAAAACTCATGTTCATGGCAGTTTTTCCATGTTGTATGAAACTATAGTAACAACTATACGAATCATAGAACCATAGAATCATTTAGGTTGAAAATTACCTTTCAGATCATCGAGTCCAACTGTTAACCCAACACTGCCAATTCCACACTAAACTATGTCCCCAAGTGCCACATATGCGTGTATTTTAAATATCTTCAGGGATGGTGAGTTCACCACTTCCCTGGTCATCCTGTTCCAATGCTCAACAACCTTTTTGGTGAAGAAATTTTACCTAATGTCCAATGTAACCTCCCCTTGTGTGACTTGAGGCTGTTTCGTCATGTCCTATCACTTGTTACCTGGGAGAAGAGACCAACCCACACCTGGCTACAACCTCCTTTCAGGCAGTTGTAGAGAGTGATAATGTCCCCCTCTGAGCTGCCTTTTCTCCAGATGGAACAACCCCAGCCCACTCAGCTGCTCTCCGTAGGACTTATGCTCCAGACTCTTCACCAACTCCATTGCCCTTCTCTGGACAGGCTCCAGCACCTCAATGCCCTTCTTGTACTGAGGAGCACAGAACTGAACACAGGATTCAAGGTGCAGCCTCACCAGTGCCGAGTACAGACCACTGCTCTGGTTCTGCTGGCTACACTACTGCTGATACAAGCCAGGATATGACACTAGGATATGACTCTACGTGTTATTTAAAACTATGCTGATTATGCAACTATAGGCATTTCATCTTCATTTAATTCAGTGCTCCATGCATTTACCTTTAATTGGGATTTGTATTTTATAATGAAGCACAATCTTGTGCTCTCCGATAAATAATGAGCAGTATTATTTAGCTATTACGCAAACTGAATATTCCTCCTGTATTTGTGTTCATAAGAAATCACATCTGTTCAGGACAATGAGAGGAAAAGGAGGAAATCCCAGTGGGATACATAGGTGTATGCCAGCTTCACTGAAATCAATTTAACTCCCCTCTGTTGCCTTTATGAACTTTGATTTTATCACTAGAATTGGGCAAGAGTAGAATTTTAGTGGTCTCAAGTGACTTAGTGAAGTTTGAACAGAACTTTATATAAATGTACTTTACCATTTATAATCCAAATAGTTGATATATTAAAGGATTTGCTGTTTTTATTAAGGCTTTTTGAATGAGTGGCTGTAGACCTGGTGGAACAGAAATCATTTAGTGTTTTGTGGAACTAAAAGTTTTTTAAAAGGTTTAAGCATACAAAAGTTTTGCCGGAGAACAGATGTGATTCTCCCTATGGTACCTTCAGTTGTATTAATCATGTAACACATCGGTATATTAGAATTCTACTGTCTGTTAATTAGATGATAAAGTTTGCAATGTATCCTTCCATAAATTCAGACTCTATTTCTCCAAGGTGTGTAAGAAGTTAATCTTGAACACTCTGTGATTTTTTAAATTCTGAAATAAGGTGATGGTACTGTAAGGCCAACCAAAAGGATAAGGGGCATTAAATGTAAAAAAAGGGATTTTGCAATTGGAAGACTTTCCAAATACCTAGACAGATTAGGTTCGGTAGGGATCAAAAGAACATGCTTAGGGGTTTAACTGCAGGAGAGTCTGTTTTCCTGAGGACAGAACTCCTGTAACTGTTTTTCATGGTGTGTCTGTTAGCCAAAGGGATTGCAAGTATAACAACATCCTTTGAAGGTTTTCTTCTTAGAATACCTGCTGTTAGCAAGAAAGTGGGTTAAAATAACTTCTTCATGTTTGCACTGTGTAAGCTTAAATTGTTTTCTGTAATAATTTAATGATGACATTGTGACTGTTTAGAATAATGAGCCTAATTAGAAAGCAGATGATTGTGGTGCCCCACTTGATTTAATAGTCAACAATTCTTATGAATCGTGCAGGAGAAGTCAGTCATTTTAAAACAATACGTCGGATGGCGTCTGTATGTCCACGTAAACGGTTCATCCATGGTGTCTTAACACACTATTTTGGTCCACAGTTCAGACTAAAAGAGACAAATCTAGAATTTTTTTAGTGTTTGTCGTTCATGTTTCATATAATTATGGTCATAGACATCAGATAAATTCCCCAGCAGGAGATTCATTTTCTGCATCCTCAGGTAGCAAAATGGGGAGAACATGCTGCTGTTGCTGCATGCTGAACGTAAACGGTTCATCCATGGTGTCTTAACACACTATTTTGGTCCACAGTTCAGACTAAAAGAGACAAATCTAGAATTTTTTTAGTGTTTGTCGTTCATGTTTCATATAATTATGGTCATAGACATCAGATAAATTCCCCAGCAGGAGATTCATTTTCTGCATCCTCAGGTAGCAAAATGGGGAGAACATGCTGCTGTTGCTGCATGCTGAACGTGCAGTCAATATAAGAAAAGGGGACTGTGCAGTGAAGGGTTCTACCCTAGGTGTTCTCCAAAAGGAACTTCAGGGGACATTTGCTGTCCCTTTTCTTAGAGGTTTAGATTTGGGCTTTTAAACACTCAGGATTATAGAAATGTTAAATTTTTTTTTTAGTGTAGTTGCATGCATTCCGTGATGTATTTTAAATACTATGAGAGCTGACATACAGTGTTTTAAAATTAGTGATAAAATCCTGGTGATAAAGAAAGAAACTTTCAGATATGATAGTTACTACTAATGCTATTACAGAAAACATCTAAAAAACATAACAGAAAAGTATTCAGGAATTTTAATCTGATTTTTTGAAAGTTTACACTTTAGGCTGTACACTATCAGTTGCACAATTCCTCTTGAGTATTATAAATTGTTCTACAGTAGGAAAAGAGGATCTGGTCAGAATAATTAATCATTCAAGCATTCAAATTTTAAAAGTAAATTTTTTGTGTAGTAATAGGATAGAGGAAATGTAAAGGTGTATACAAATTCATATGTATTCATCTGTCTGTCCATCTAGCTAGTCCAGAGAAACTAACAAATCATTTTATTTCAAAACTGTTATTAGTATCTGAAATTATTTGACTTCCTATTCTTTAGTATTGTCTTGTAATAATTTGTACTGTTAAAGTACTTTAGATATATTTTCAGTCATTAGGCTCTCCAAAGAATTTGATTATAAGCCTCCGATATTTTTCTATTTTAAATATATTGATAGTGTGTTTGAGTGATGCTATTTGATACTTAGTGTTTCTGCAAGTATGTTCTGTCTAAAAATCATGTAGAAAACTGTGTGTGCTGTTTCAAAAAAATATGCTGGAGAAACTGTGTTATTTGGATAGAGTGTTACCAAACGGGATCCCTGTTGCAGTATAAGAAACACCTTAAAGCTGCAGGGTGTGAATAGCTGAGAGGGGTTACTGGGACAAAGAATTAGAGGTTTAGGTGAAGACAGAATCCTTTTCAGCACCCTACAAAGTAAAATCAATTAATGGAGTGTTTATAATTTATAAGTAAAGAAGGAGACCCTAGCAGTACATTACTATCTAGAGAAGTAGGGAGCTGCGTGTAATGGAGAGATCTTCTGAATCTAAGTGTCATGCACTCAGGGTATGATTTTGTTGATGTTTTGAGTTAGAAATTATTGACACATTTTAGAAAAGGAAATTTCCTTTTTATAGTGTGGGAATAGAATACTTAAAAAACCCTACCACGTGGATGCTGAATTACCACACTGGGGTGCTGCAGTCTTCTTTCAGTTCTGATACAGATGATTGCAGGAAGTTTTCCTTGATGATTGGATAAATAAGGATAACGTACAACATAGGGAATACAGTGTTTTAAAATGTCATTTTTACTGCAGTCACAAAGATCAGGCAAAAGGATTGAATTTGAAAATAAATTTCAGAAATGAAAATGGTATTTTAATTTGAGAATGGTGAAATATGCACAAATCTGAACGTTGCTGATGCCATATAAAGGCTTCTTTCCTGATATAAAATATTTAATTAAAATAGGATGTACAGTTTTTCTGAAATTTTTTTTCTTTCTTTTTTAACAGATAGTGCCTTTGTGGATTGCTCCCAACCTGTTAACATTCTCTGGATTTGTCATGATTTTATTTAATTATTTTCTAATATCTTTTTATGACTGGGACTACACTGCCTCAGGTAAAAATCCTCATGTTGTAATTTTTTAGAATTAGTGCGCTGCTTGTACTTCTGAATGTTATGGGGAGGGATCAGACACTTGAATCTTCCACTCATTCCCTTCATGACACTCCATGAGCACAACAGGAGGATCTGACCTCACATATGGCCTTAAAAATTAAGAACATTTTATTGAAAAATATTATTTAATTTTATCCCTAAAATGGGTTTCAGCATATGTTGCTTGCAGCCTATGATAATATCTCATTTTATTTAAAGTTTATTCCAGGATTTAAATGCACAGACAAAAAACACCCAAATGTTCTTCATAAAGTTTTCATTGGTTTCACATTTCCTAATACCTAAATTGATGCCTGAACAAGTTATTTCTCTTTCATTACTATACACACCCCCCATTCAAAACTGCTTCTAGACAAAGAAGACATAGTTTCTAAATAAATGTTGCTTCAAATTGCGACTCTCTGAGTCTCAGTCTGTATTTGCTCTTCGTGGTAGACCAAGTCAGAAGCTTTTTGGCTGATTGCCTCTGAGTGTAGGGCATGTTTAGTTCTGGGCTTCTCAGACCAGCTGTTGGAGCCTACAAAAAGTAGTAAGCATCTTCTGTAAGGTGTTTAATATGTAAAACATCTATATATATATATATAAATATATAAAAAGCTTTAGTTTTCTTTAAATTAGACAATTTAGTGAAGGCAACAGTTTTATTTCCTGAAACAACTGTGTTTTGCTGTCTTTAATTTTTTTTATACCTGTGTTTAGATTCAAGAGGTACCCTTTAGTGTGGGCTGTTTGTACATTTATGGTAATAATTCTAGAGGCAGAGATACTTGTTAGCAGTTTTAGTTCAAAAGTAATCCTGTATGAGCATTATGTTTTCAGGGCCAGCTTGTTATATATTGTGTGGCCTCATTCTTAAACACTTGGGGTTTTTTTATCAATGCAGCTAACATTAAGTTCTGTAATAAAAGAGCATCCAGAACAAATCTTTTTAATGGGATGATGTTATCTTGACAAATTCCCAGTAGATGTACATGGAACTTGAAGATATTTGAAATGGTGATTAAGTCTGTTGGAGTTGAGGCCTATATGTGTAGTTTGCAATCCTCTTCTCGATTTCACATGAGAACAGTGCCCATCATTTCTCAATTTATTGAAAACATTCATGCAACCTAACAAGCCTTTTGAGTATCATATATCAATCCCATACCTAGGATCAGAAATAAAAGACTTAATTTCCTGGACAGCTGGTTTTCATTCTACAGTTTGCAGATTTGCAGCTAGGAGTCAGGAATTGCCATCTTTTCTTTCAGAATGGCAAAATGAGGCATTGAGAAAGGTAGTCAAGGCACTGCTTTAGGTGCTGGCAACTCCTGGCATCATTCAGGCAAGGACACCCCTCTGTATGCACGAATTCCCTGTGTTAGGTGCCAAATGCCAGAAATCTGAGAGGCATTTACAGTTGTTTAGTGCTAGTGTAGTACTTACTGCATGATGTTTAAGTTAAATAGAACAGTCTTCGGAAAAAGGATTGATTTCTTTAAAAGAGCAACAATAACCTTGGGTTAATGCTATCAGCAGAGCAAGAACAGAACCCTGGGCTCTGTCCAATTCAACTTTCTTTTCCTTTTTCTCAAGGAAAAAAAAAAGGTGCTAATATTTGTCCTAGCCTGAGGACAACAACTTCCTGTTCAGATCTGTACGGTAAAAGTACTACATAAACCCCAGGCTGGCACTGATAATCTTGCTTGAAAAATACCTTTTTTTTGCTTCTAGATATTACATAAACATTAACTAATTTGTCAATGGATAGTCTTCCTGTGACCTGTAAAAATTTTTATCTCGTTACTGTCATTGTTTTGTGCAATAATAGAGTAATTTCAGGACCAAAAAACCTTATCTTCTGTCCTCTACAGTGTAAACACATTTAAGCCTGCTCAATATGTCTTCAGTAGAGCTCAGTGATGCCTGAAGGTCAAAACCAAGTATTTCAATCTGTTCGATGCAGTAGGTTAGTCAGTGGCAACTTGTTTTTATACATATGCATATGTTGGTGGATTTCTTTGAGGTTAACCACTGTTACACTGACTTACTACCCCATTTCTTTCAGGTAGCAGTCCTGGACTTGTTCCCACCTGGGTGTGGCTCTTCAGTGCTTTTACCACTTTTTGTGCTTATGCTTTAGGTAAAGTACAGTGAAATAATTTACACATCTTATGTCTTTGTATAGTTTTATCTTCAAATTCACTAGTGTGGATTCTGAGATGAAGAGGCACTGTGGATAAATTACTGATCTCTTTCCAAAACAGTTCTCTTAGATTAAAAAAAAAACCAACCAAACACACATACACACAAAATTTATAAGACTGAAGAAAACCCTGAACAGCGTATGACGTTATATTTTAGAGGTTGATGATGAGGCTCTTACCCCTCTGTAAAGTTCAAATTATTTTAGAGGAACAGTGGAAATCGTTATGTAGCAGCACTCAAAGAAGCATAGAATGGTTGGGATTGGAAGGGACCTTAAAGACCATCTATTTCCTTTCTCTCTGCCGTGGGCAGGGACACCTTCCACTAGACCAGGTTGCTCAAAGCCCCATCCAACCTGGCTGTGAACACTTCCAGGCATGGGACATCCACAACTGCTCTGGGCAATCTGATCCAGTGTCCAACCACCTTCACCGTAAAGAATTTCTTCATAATGTTTAATCTAAACATTATTTAATCTAATCTCTTTCTGTTTGAACCCATTTGCCTTTGTCCTGTCGTCCATGCCCATGTAAAAAAATCCCACTCCAGCTCTCTTGTAGGACCCCCTTTAGGCACTGGAAGGCAGCTCTGAGGTCTCCCTGGAAGCTTTCTCTTCCCAAGGCTGTACAGCCCCAAGTCTCTCATCCTGTCTTCATAGGAGTCATTGCTCTTTGATTTCATAAAAATCTTTGTTCCTTGATGTTGACATTCTGAGAAACTTCTCGATGCCAGCGATACCAGAGGGTGCTTTCAAGGACAAATGAAAAAAAAAGGGCAAAGCAGAGAAAAAGGAAACTGTTAGATACTTCAGTGCTTATGGTGTATGTCAGGAGAAACGGTGATGATATGTGTGATGACAGGGCTGAGCTTCTTATGGAGATGAAGTATGATTTTTTTCTTTCCTCTTGCTGTTTTTCTCCTGTAACACCTACAACTCAATTTCGTATTCCATTTTTACTATTTTGTACCGTACCATGACTGTATTTTTAGGTATATTGCACCTTGCTGTGCAGTGGTGTGAAGACATAAACCTGAACTGATGCAGACCTGGGAGTGAGATCCACAATAGCATGGTGGTTTTGCTTTTTCTTCCAAACCTATCTCATTCTGAACTAGTCTCTCCGCAATGTGGTGCAACAGAGTTAATTTTTGGGGGGCCCCAAGGTAGTATATTTACATGGACTGCACAGTGCAGTGTAAAAGGGGTCCAGGAAGGCTGGGCATACCTTAAGAAGGAAATCTTAAAGATACAGCAGCAGACCATCCCTGTGTGCTGAAAGATGAGCTGTCGGGTAAGAAGACTGGCCTAGCTGAATAGGGAGCTTTTTCTGGAACTCAGAAAAAAAATTAGAGTTTATGACCTTGGGAAGAAGGGATAGGCAAGTCAGGAAGAGTACAAGGATGTCATTAGGTCATTTAGAGAGATTAGAATAATGAAAACTCAGCTAGAACTCAATATGACCACGGCTGTGAGAGATAATACAAAATGTTTTTATAAATACTTTAATAACAAAAAGAGGGCCAAGGAAAATCTCCATCCTTCATTGGATGTGAAGTACTGTAACCAAGGGTGAGGAAAAGGCTGAGGTACTTGGTGCCTCAGTCTTTAACAGAAAGACTGGTTATCCTCAGGGCAGCCAGTCCCCAGAGCTGGTAGACAGGGATGGGGAGCAGAATAGACCCCCTGCAATCCAGGAGGAAGTAGTTAGTGAGGTGCTGTGCCACTTAGACACTCAGAAGTCTATGGGTTCAGATGGGATCCATCTGAGGGTGCTGAGGGAGCCAGTGGATGAGCTCACCAAGCCACGCTCCATCATTTATCATGCTTAATCAGGAAGGTCCCGGAAGACTCGAGATGAGCCAATGTGGTGGCCATCTGCAAGGAGTGTCGGAAGGAGGATCTGGCAAACTACAGGTCTGTCAGTCTGTCCTCAGAGCCAGGGAAAGTCATGGAGCAGATCATCTTAGTGCCATCTCTTAACACGTACAGGACAACCAGGGGCTCAGGCCCAGCCACCATAGCTTTAGGAAGGGTAAGTCCTACTTGACCAAGCTGATCTCTTTTTGTGACCAGATGACCAGCCTAGTGGATTAGGGAAATGCTGAGGATGTTGTCTACCTGGAATTCAGTAAAGCCTTTGATACTGGCTCCCACAACATTTTTCTGGAGAAGTTGGCACCCTGTGGCTTGGACAGGTGCACTTCTCATTGGGTTAAAAACTGTCCAGATGGCTGAGCCCAGAGAGTGATGGTGAATAGAGTTACATCCAGTTGGCAACCAGTCATCAGTCGTGTTCCTCAGGGATCAGTGTTGGGGCCAGTCTTGTTTAATGTCTTTATCCAGAATCTGGATGAAGGGATCAAGTTCAGCCTCAGTCAGTTTGCAGATGACATCAAGTTGGGTGGGAGTGTTGATCTGCTGGAGGGCAGGAAGGCTCTGCACAGGGATCTGGACAGGCTGGATCAATGGGCCGAGGGCCCATTGATGGGTATGAGGTTTAACAAGGCCAAGTGCTGGGTCCTGCACTTGGGTCACAACAACCCCACACAGCACTACAGGCCTGGGGAAAAGTGGCTGGGAAGCTGTTTAGTGAAAAAGGACCTTGGGGTGCTGGTTGACAGCAGCTGAACATGAGCCAGCAGTGTGCCCAGGTGGCCGAGAAGGCCAATGGCATCCTGACTTATATCAGCAATAGTGTGGCCAGCAGGACCAGGGAAGTGATTTTCTCCCTGTACTCAGCACTGGTGAGGCCGCACCTCTGAGTACTGCGTCCGGCTCTGGGCCCCTCACTACAAGAAAGACATTGAGGTGCTGGACTGAGTCCAGAGAAGGGCAACAGAGCTGGAGCGCAAGTCCTGTGAGGAGTGGCTGAGGGAGCTGTGGGATTGTTTAGTCTGGAGAAGAGGAGGCTCAGGCTCTACAACTACCTGAAAGGAGTTTGTAGCCAGGTGGGGGTCAGCCTCTTCTCCCAGGCAACCAGTGACAGGAAAAGAGGAAATCGTCTCAAGCTGCACCAGAGGAAGTTCAGGTTGGACATGAGGGAGAAATTTTTCCCTGAAAGGATTGTTAAGCATTGGAATGGGTTGCCCAGGGAGGTGGTGGAGTAACTATCCCTGGAAGTGTTCAAGAAATTCCTGGATGCAGCATATAGTGCTGTGGTTTAGTTGACCTCGTAGTGTTTGGTCAAAAGTTGACTTGATCCTGGAATTCTTTTCCAACCGTAGTGATTCTGTTCTGTGATTCTAAATGTACACTCTCCTTGGAGCTGTTTCTTGTGAGGCCATTGCAGAGTGTAGCCATATATTTGTGTGCCATACTTGAGACACTGAGGCTACAAACGGATGTGTTATAGATTAGTATGCTGCAGTGCTGTGCAAAGGTGCTGACGACTTTTGGAATCAGACTCATGCGTATAGAGCCATCTTGATTGATCTGGGGGTATCCCCTTGTGGAGAAATCTCCCTCTGCATTGTAAATGCCTTGGCATTTCTGTTAAATTGGTGAGATCATGCCAAAATTATTTTTTTCTGGAATTTCTTTGTATTTGTACCATAAAAAGCAATGGTCAGTTTTCCCTAGCTCTCTATAATAATTATCAGAAGCAGCAGTTTCTTTGTGAAAACCATTTTTGTGTAATTGTATAGAATTTAATGAAATGACTATTGTTTCATAAATAGGAATTACATATTGGAGTTGTTACTGTATGCCCAGAAAGCTCATTGGAAGTTCAGCTTCCAAGATTCTTAATGTAGATGGTATTTACCAGTGACGCCTCTAGTTCCTAATACTTGGAAGGCAAGGAATTTGATGTTGACAGTCAAAGCTATAATGAACTAACGTATATGTAGATTTTTATGTCTGCTGTCCAAGCCACTTCATGAAATATTTAGTCTCAGATTTAATTCTTCATGGCCAAAGTTTTCCCTTTGGAAGACTGCAAAGAGCCATAATAACTAACCAAATATGCAGCTGTAATCTCTCTCATCTTCTTTTTAATGACACAGTTTCTCTCTCCAAATGCTGTTCTTCCCTCCACCCCCTTTTTTAAGGTGGTTTGGTATCTTTCCCTTTCCATAAAATGGACTGCTATTTGCTGTTATTTTAAATTCCACTCTTTAAAAGTTATATAAAATTTAATAAAACTGAATATTTATGAACCTTTATGAGACAAAATCATAATACAAGAATTCTAAAGCAATGGAAGTGTGGGACAGTGTATGTCTGCTATGGAATACACACCAGTGTTGGCATGAACAATTTTAAACTGAAACTTAAAATATTCTCAATCTCTTAAAAAGGTAATCAAACTACGTGGAAAATCTGGTTAAAGATTTTTGAAAATCTGATTTTATCTATGTGTCATATAGTTCCTGTGTTTTTCTCCATACCCATTATAATTAGAAATACTGTATTTTATGACACCATTGTAAGCCTCTTTTTAATAAAACTAAAGTTCTTGCAAAATGAAAACCACTTCTCTGTGATGTACATATTTTACTATCTGATGTCACTTTTGTGACAACTTAAAATAATTTATGAACAGAAAAATTTTCTAATGTTCGCATTTTTAAAAATATTACCTGTGTAACTGAATTCTCTCTTATTTTGGATAGGTATTCTTGAAGTATAAAAGACCATAAACTGTTTAGGGTTGATAATATACTTATTTGCTAGTTAAATTTCAGAAATATTCTTTACTAGATGGAAGAATTTCTACAGTTATCGTAACACCATTCAATTAACCTCAAGCTTATATATAAGCTGAGGTTCTGCACATTTCAGTAAGATGTTGAAAATTCAGTGGTAATGTTAATAGAGAAAGAAAGTGTCTCTAGAAAGGGGCAAGCTATATTTGAAATCCTCTTTGAGATATTTAATTTTAGAGTTGTGAGAACTGTCTCAAGAGATTTGTATTTGAGTGGAGGATATCTCACAGCTGTTTAGGTATTACAATAGAGAGACAGTCTAAAAACTGTACAAAATGAAATCCCATGTTTTCCCAGTTTAGGTCCCTAAAGTGTATTTACATTAAACAAAACTCAGAGTAATGAGAAATAATCTGGTGAAGTAAGTAGCATATGATCTATAGCAGCTGTGGAGACTTTGGTCTCACTCTGCTGAGTCGTATCTCTAGTCAGTTTTGCGTTATTAATGCTATCAATAGCTAATAACTGCTTTACCTTCCAAGTAACATTAAAAAGAAAAAAACTCTCCATTTTATTCTGAGATTCAAGACAATAGTAAGTAATCTGTAAGGTTTGTTCTGCGTACTTTTTCCTAAGAGATTCATTCTGTGTCTTTACACTTAAAGAGGAAAATATTTTTCAGCAGCACAATCTCAGAGAAGAGGCTAAGGGTATGGTTTGACAACACAACTAAGAAAGGTTACAACCACTAGATCCCCTTCCTCCTGCCTGCATTCACCACCCCTCTCTTGTGCTATCTCCCTTGGTTTTTGTACTATTCATAACACCAAATCTATTAGTGACACAGAAGAAAACATAATGTTTACTCTCTTTCCACCAGCTGAACAGGCTGCAGGTCTCCCTGTTCAACAGCAGTGAATTATCAGATCAACTCAAACCATATTGTCCAACTTCAGAGTGAGATCCAGTGCAGTATTGGACCATCTTTCAAGCACTCAAGTATTAAAAGTGATCAATCAACGTGTAATGCACCTTAACTATAATGTATTTTTAGATTCATATAATAATACATTTTGCAAAAGACCTTGAAGATCGCTAAGTCCAACCATTAACCCAGCACTGCCAATTCCACCACTAAACAATGTCCCCAGTCTACCTCACAATGGTCTGAAGGCTCAGAGGGTGCCCAACACCAGTGGATGGGTGGGAAGCCCTATGGACACTTTTCAGCGCTTGAAACTGATTGCAGGGACTGACATTAAAGCATTTCAAGACCACTGGGGGCAAGTAATTTTGAATGTCTTTCTAAAGCTCATAAGAAAGGTGGCATTAAAGCTTCAGAGCTGAGGTAAGGACAGAAAAATTGCTTGATAACTGAAACAAGTATTTTATGAGCAATCCTAATCCTTAGTATTGAGGAGGCTGTTGTGCTTCAGTCGTCATTGTAATTTTCTCATGCGTTATATATGGCAGTAGTGCAGTGTATGTGAAGAAAGTTACTCCTTTTGTTGTGCTCTAAATTTTCATTTCTTTTTCTTTCCCAATCCTTCTAGACTCCATAGATGGGAAACATGCTCGAAGGACTCAGTCCAGTACTCCTCTAGGAGAACTATTCGACCATGGACTGGATAGCTGGGCTACCTCCATTTTTGTGCTTTCCTTTTTTTCTGTCTGTTCCCGTGACAATGGGAAGACTGGAGTTTCTGTATATACAATGTATATATATTTAAGCATTGTCTTGTTTAACTTCATGTGTTCACACTGGGAGAAATATAACACAGGAGTTCTTTTTCTTCCTTGGGGATATGATATAAGCCAAGTGGTAAGTATTTATCATTTCTGTTTTGGTTTTATTTTTTTAAGTATGTAATTGTTTTCATAATATTAAAGAAATAGAAAAATAGTGCTCAAGGCAAATATATTTGGCTGAGACCTTGAAATATGTAAAATTGCATAACCCTAAAAGTAATTCAGAAATATTTCCTGCATTTGCAGTGAAGGGATGCTCTTGAGCAAATTGTCAGCATCAGAGATTCATTGCCTTGCAGGAGAAAAAAGACTTGCAGCAAGCCTAGCAGCCAGATAGTGCCTATGAGAATGTCATTTAACTGCATTTGATTTGTGGTGTTAACAAAAATTATTTTGCTATCTGAAGCCGTAAGCAATTTCCCCCCCAACACTGGGTTCTGAGACATGATGTGAAGTAGTCCAAGTAGTATCTACTAATAGTAATTATGCAGTTATACACTGCTAGACCTTCTCAATTCTACCCTGTTTTACAACAAGTGTGGTGATGGAAACAACATTGTAACTATACAGAGAACATTAACTGTTGTAAAGTGAATTCTACCCTTGAAAAAAAGTCAGTCATATAATGGATGTCAAAAAGTCGTAGGGAATGACATTCAGTAACATGAATTATGTATCAGCCCACAGTCAACCCCACCTGAGTTCTTGACTGGCTTACAGCCCTACCTTGAGGTGGACCTCCTCAGAAACATGCCCAGGCCACCACGGTGAGTGGTGTCCACAGTACACAAATAAGTAGCAGGAGTAACAAGTTCGGTGCACTTCCAAGGGCCAGCGCTGGATTTTTGGGCTGGCTTATTTGTTTCTTACATAGCCAAGCTCTTGCAGACTGAAGAGCAGTCACAGTCTTCTGAGCTTCCTGTCACAGACATGAGATGAAAGGTACAGCCAAATATACATAATTGAAAAGAAGTTTGACAAATACTCAAATATGTGTTTTAATGGAAATATAGTATTTGAATTAATGGCTGCAGATGTGTTGCTGTAAACATAATCAGAATCCAGTGGTTTGAGAACAACTCAGAGATGGTGGTCCAGCTGTGGTGCATCTGTGTCATCCCCTACAAAATAGGTTCTGGGAGAAGAAGTTGGCTCAGGATTAAGACATTAGGCAGCCAGCTGGTCTGCAAGTTTCAGCCATGTCTGTATAAGGCTTCTTGGTGAAGTTCTTCCAGCAGGAGAGAAATAGCTATGTTCAAACCAATTCCACTTGTTGGTCAGATGATCGGTGTATATGTGAATGTTTAGAAAGCTCTGCTGGATTGCTTCAGCATCCGAACCCTATTAGTGTTTTTAAATATGGGAATGGGTATCAAGTGGCAGAGAAGTATTGTTAACTGTGTCAGTGCTGGTAGTGACCTATGCCCCTGGCACTGCTTTTCCATCTGGGGAATAATGCTTAATAACATTTCCCTGCCTGACAGATTTGTGGTGAGGCTGGATATCAGTAAAGTTTGTAAACTGCTTCGATTAACTGGGATGCAAGGTGCTAACAAGTGCTATTTCCTGTTTGCCTCTGATGCTGGATTGCTGTCCTGCACACTTGCTTTCTAATAACTTCTGTGATGATTTGGCTACGGTCAAAGTGATAAGCCTGTAACTGTCAGAATTTTTTTGATGCTATTTAGCACAGTCATCAACAGTGGTGGAAGACTGTACTATTGAAATCTCTGTATGTCAGTTTTCCCATCTGTAAAAAATAGCTTTTGTAGTTGTGATTGCCTATGAACAAAGACAAAATAGAATTTGTAGGTCGAGGTAGTATTTTTCTATTAGTCCAAACTACATTTCACACACACCAGGAAGTATATAATGTGTTTTTTTTCCCAGCTGTACTAACTAGTCTAGTAAAAGATCATAACTCTCCTAAAAAATTGCTCTTGTTTTGTAAACCAATTCAGCAAATTTTGTATGATGTGTACACTATTAAAGGTAGCTCTTTGTCTCCAGTTACTTAGTGGAGAAGATACTGGGGGCAATAGCAAATGGCTGATGATAAGTAGGAAAGGTAATGCTCCTCTTGCTTTTTTTTTTCCCACTGCTTCTCTGCCGGATATTCCCACAGTCACATTTAGAGGCAGAGAGTGTGGAAGCACTCGCAGGCTGCTTTCAGACTGATTCCCGGTGCTTGGTTCACAATTTCCTCCATGGCATTCCTAGCTGGATTGCTGCAGGAATGTGCGCCTCTGTTCTGTCTTCATTAATTTCACTGACGATGTGGTGCTATTGCATTGGCATGTCAGACACTCAGGTGGTCTAGTCCCCTGCTTCTGCTTTTAAATTTGATGGTAGCCAAGAACTTTGGGCTTCATTATCACCCCAAAACTCAAGAAATAAGAATAGTTAGTATAAGTGTGCAAATAGATAACTGTTGACCTTAATGAAAACTGAATTGGCATGTGGCTCCCAGGACACTGCTGCTGAGTCAGCTCCACTCTATATAAACACAGACAGCCCACTCACATGCTCTGCCTTAAATGTGGTATAAAAAGAGCTGCTGTTCCTCATGAAAAAATACCTCATTATGAATAGAGAAATTTGTGGGACTTACACAGATCACATTTTTCTGTGACTTGATGACTCATCACAACTGGTAACCCAATTACTCTATCTGGGCTGTAATTGGCACTCCAATTAGCTTTGATTACAGCAGACAGCCATTTACAGGAGGCTGTGGTTTGTAAACTTGAAAACTGGCTGTAATGTGTCTGAGAGATGCTTGGTCAGAGGACTGTTACGTTTTTTGATCCAGAATCAAGGAGGAGGCATCTGCAGCAGGGAAAACCCTTACCCTCTCGCCTCTCTCCAGCGCAAGGAGCTATCTCGTGCTGACTCCTGAGTGAGCAGAAAAAGATGCAGGGAGAAGAGCCTCTGTACCATAGCCTCCAGACAATTTTCATACACTTTTGAGTAAGCACACCTATTGGAAACCCCAAGAATTATGGTCTGAAGAAAAGGCTGAAAAATAAACCTCTGCTATAATCTGTGAGAAATTCTCTTGGATACATCTTGTGAAGACAAAGACTTTTGTTTTTCTCACAAACCCAAGTAAAAAAAGTTAATATCTGCAAATTAAGTTTCTTGGACAAAAAAAGGCAAAACTTCCCTGGGAAATTAAAACTTCAGGCTTCTTGCCATATGTTAATTTTCACAGACATCTTCCTGATTTAAAAAAAAAAAATCTATTTTGCTCCTGAAAAATTTAATATTCCCCTAATGAAATACTCTCCTAATCCTGCTGTTGCTTTTCCTAAGCCACTGCAGTGAATTCATAGTAGGGGAACAAAATACTCATTTTTCCTTAATATGATGTAATGATACTTCTGCTTCCATTGGTGCTGCCTTAAGTGTAACAGGAAGTGGCCTTTATATTCTTAAATAAAAGTTTAAAAGTAAAAAGAAAGCTGCATGAGAGCTGGAGTGACTCAGACAATTCCACTCTCCTTCCTCTCCCTCTCCCCAGCTATGAGGCCAAGCTTAAAAGCAGCACAAGCAGCAAAATGTGAAAGGCAACTGGCAGCTCTCGCTGGCCCAGCCTTTGCCCTGTAAGGAGAGGATGACCAGAAATCCTCTATATGTGGGTTTATGCCTGAAGGGATGGGTGCTTGGACCATGAGCCCCAGGTTTTCAGTTTAAGATGCTTTCACAGCTGCTTCTGCCAGAGGACTTTGGACAGTACCACGTAGTCTCAGGGAGAACACTCTGCCTGCCTTGGAACTCTGAATAAATGAAATCCATGATGCAGACAGCAACTGAAAAATTGTAGAACTTCCTTTCCTTCTTCCTTTGAGTCAAAGCAGGGGAAGGCTTTTTGTTTGGATGCCCTATACCAGGGGTTTTTTTGACAAGCTTTTTACAAAACTCATGCTGAAATATGTTTCATATGACCTATTCTTGGGATGTACTGTGGCAACCAGCGTTTTAGGAACTGGCAGAGAAATCCCAAGCAATGCAAGTGCACATCACATCTTGAAAAAATTTCTACCTTTTCTGAGGGGCAAAAAAAGTTATCTATTAAAAAGCAAAATAAAGACACAAATATCTTGTTCTTTGGTCACATTACTAGGATTCACAATTTAATTTTAGTTAAAAAGATATTCACTTTCACAGTTTTTCAAATTTGAAGTGTCTGTGTAAAGCATAGTCTTACTTGTGATAAAATATTATTATTATTTGGTTCCAAAGGTAGGAGCACACTGAAACTGTGGATGTGACAGAACGGATAGCAGTGTGGAAGCAGTTCTGCCCAGACCATGGTGTCTGCTTCAAGCTGCTTCCAGACGTAGCTGGAAACTGATCTCAGTACTCAGTTATCAGAGGGAAACCCCATGGTGTACCCATGTGAAATTTAAACAGAAGAGCCTGCTGTGCACAGGCTCTTTATGCAGCAGTTGATTGCTTCATTCTTAACCACTTGATTATGATTCTGTGCAAACCTTTCTTGGTTAATTAATCTTCCATGTGCCTTTAACTGCTTACCTATCATGTCTAAATGCAGAGTGATCTTTTTAAGAAAAACTTTTTATAGGCTAAATTTTCAACCTTCAACTATTTATTGAAAGAAAAAAGACTGAGAAAAAATTAAAATGGAAAAATTGCACATCGTGTTAAAACTAACTCCTACTGAAATCACTCGTAGGTAATCATTCGTGCTCTTTTAGGCATCACATTTATTTTGAGAAGAAAAAGTAACCTTGTATTTTAAATGTCTTTGCTTTCAAGATGTTCAGTTTGAGCACTGTGTTAATGGAAAATATTTCAACACATGAACAATTAATGCTATAGCAATATGCTAGTGAAACTGAATATTACAGTAAAATTAATGACATTTTTTGTGGAATCATAAAGAATTTAAAAGCATATCCACATTTTTTAAAAAATGTGAGAAAATGTTTGATTTTGTTTCCCACTGTGTAGAATATCACACAGCATACTAAATGTGCCTGTGGAAATGGTAAATCATGTAGGAGAAAAAAAATGTATGTACACACACAGTCTAGAATATTGTGGCCACAAAACTTACACCTGTAGTATTGGAAACACATGTAAGAGATGGTGATTTAAAAAAATTAAATATTTTAGAGAACAGTTAAAGGACTAGAAATTAGAAGACTTTGAGGGGTTATAATGCCTTATGATTATATAGAATTTTCCCAATGCCACATCAAAGAACTATTCTGATTTTACAGAGGAGTAAAGGTGTCTATGTTACTGTGTATTATAAAATTGTGACAAGATAGGGAGTCTGCTCAGAAGCCAACTGTCCCTCTGCTAGCCATATCAAAAGGCCTACAAATTAACACCTCATATTTCCAGAATTTTCTCAGCATAAGTACTCCTCATCCTCACAGATAAGGCCTTGGCAAGCCAAAAATGTTCCTGGTCAGATGCTGCAGTGAGTTGAAATCCAAGATTGTATATGTCTGGCACTACCTTGCTATATAGTCCTCACTTGTGTTACTTAATTTGGACTTCTCAATTTACAAAAGACTGCAATTATTTTAACTTGCTAATGACTACATTTATATCTGAAAAGTACTAAAGCTGATTGATGGCAGAGAGATAAGTAAAAAACTTGGTCATCTTAAGAAGAATTATTCAGTTGCACTTAGGGACACTGCTTTACATTGATTTTTATTTTTTTTTTTTTTAACAACAGTGCCTTCAAAAGAAGTTTATACAGCTGATTAACATACTTAGCTTTAGCCAATAATTTTGACAATCTTACTTTTTGCTAATATATCTTAGATTAAGGGACACAGCCAATTTCACATCCTTCCAGCTTTCTAACGGAGGTCTTTGAGACTGCCTCAGTGAAGTCAAAGTGACGAGTCCTTAAAAAGCAACACACCAAAAATTTGAAGCCAAAGAGTGTTTTTTCATATGCTACATCTGTTAAATAAGAGGCAGACTCAATCTGTGAGTGCTGCATCACCAAATCCCAGGGCATTCCCTGAGAGAACTCACTGCATCCACACTCCTGTTCCTGGATGTGTGTTGACATCTGACAGTGATGCTCATGGCTGCCCTGCCAAAAGTATTGACTGTAATAACGGATAATACTGATGTTCCTTTTTTATCACTCGCCAAAATAGTCTGGTCAGGATTCAACATGCAAGGGTAAATTCAGTCTCCATCAAAGCCAGTTGGAGTTTTGCCATCAGCTTTGATGGGGTCCTGATTTCATCCGTCGTGTCTTATGGATAACATAATACAATTTTTTCAGAAAGCCCAGTGTTAGCTCTGATGTAGTGGATTGCAAAACCCATTATACATGTCCTTCATTTAGACCAAAATTTAACTCACTGTCTTCAGTGGCTCAAGATGTAACACTCACTAGCACCTCCTTTTCTCTGTGGCAGATCTGTTGTGCTCCTTGTTCTTAACACAGGCAAATTCAAACATCCAGGCAAAAACTCTTAAAGAGCTACATACTGATAGGGCAAGAATTTAGATATAGAGAAGTAAGTGAAGTCAAATATAGTGTTATCCACGTGTAATAGGGAGTTTAAGTGCCAGCAGTGTTCTGCTGTTAATCTGTGATCTTAAGCAGCCTGTTATTTAAAAAAGAGATTTTCAGTGTATCCTAAAGTTAAAGCATTTAATTTAATAAAAGACTGGAAATGTATTTCCTGATGTTAAAATGAAGAAAACACATAACATAGTAAAAAGTAAGTATTTAAAAAACTAAATAATACATAGTAAAATCTATAATACAAGTAAAGCTGAAAAACATTTGTCATCCCAGAGTAAGAGGCTGTATTGAATGGAAAATATAAAGGTTACTAAATGTTAGCCGGGAATAAATAGATGAATATGCTGTTTTCTAAATGGCATTATAATTAACACTGTCATTTTGATTTAGAGCTGAAGTGTAGCATGAAACATACAGCCTCTTATGGGCCCTAGGGGAAAACTGAACAGCTAAGAACAAAACAGCCTAGAGAAAGAGCAGGGCAGCAGTCCTGCTAGCTGGGTGCTGGCAGCAGAAGGGGCTGCAGGGGGTGGGTGGCCTGGGATAAGCAAGGAAATGGGTTTCAAGGGAAAGAGGGGTCCCTTGGGGAGGTGGGGTGAAGGGCACAAGGGTTTGGGAATCACTGCATCACACTCAGTGCTGCATTTGCATGTTACACATCTGAAATGGTAAAACTTTATCAGTTTGTGCCATGAGCTGTAGGTGGTGCTGCTACAGGTGCATGTGAGAGGTGTTGCTGTAGGAGCTATAGGGTTTTGGCTGCATTAAGATTTCTAACCTCAGCTGGGTCACAAAATTAACTCTGAAGAGAGAGCAGAAACTACATTTACGTCTCTACTGAAACTGGTGGCACTTCAGCAAGTGACTTGTGAGTCTCGTGTATGCGTCCGTTCACTCCTAATGACATCTGACTGTGTGTTTCTTTTTGTCTCCTATAATGATGTTATCTGTCAAACAAATTAAAAATCAGGGGAGACTTCAGCTCCCTCTCATTTTTATTTCTTCACATTCAAGTGTTTTTTTTATAATTCTTTCAGCTGAGCTTAGGAGTTTTTCTCCCCTCTCAGTTATTCTGATATGGTCAGTTCAGGGGGCTGAGCTGCAAAAATAACCCCGTTGCTAATTCTGAAATCTGTATCCAAAACCAAGAAAGTGCTTGTGCAGTGGGGAGATGTGGCATTTAGAAGGGATTTAGAACTTAGGTATTTTGAAAAGGTAAGTTAGTAATACCACATGCAACAGATGCACGTATTAGAGGGAAGTTGCTTGCTTACTGTATTTCATACATTTTAAATAATTCTGCATAATTTTTTTGCTTTTGCGTTTGTATCAAGATGATAAGTGAAATTCTGTGCCTTTAGAAGTAGAGGACTGACAATACGTTATCTTTTATTTGTTTTTATTTATTAATACCTCTTCTATAGGTATTAATAGCAGCATATCTGCTTACCAGTGCTGTTGGTGTGGAAGTCTGGCAGAAGCCTTTGCTGCTTGGTTATTACATTACAGACATATTAGTAATCCTGCTTATAGGTAAGTGTCCAAATCTAAGCAAAAATATACTGCTTTTTAATTATTTTGATTAGATGTGTCTTATATTTCCCTTTTTTTTTTCTTTTGTAAGTGTTGGATATTACAAAAAAGACATGAGTAGAGCTGATTAAAAGGGAAACTGAGAAACTTTAAAAAAGTAGATAATTTTGTAAAAGTTTTTCCTCACTGAATTACTACCTGTTGCACACAAATAATACAGAAAATACTCCTCATCTGCATATGCAGTTCAGTGCAGTGTGCCAGCTGGCTGGCTCCCAAAGTCACAGGAACTCCTCTTGTCACTCAGGTAAAATGCCATTCACATTTACATATGTTCTAAGTTCAGTGTTTTGGCCTGCAGCACACGATGTTCCAAAACATATGAATAGAAGGAATGAAGACATTATTTAAATAATCTTGGAGGCACTACTGTAAATATGAATAAGAATCAGATTGTTTCTAAGCTCTTCTTTAGAATTCCTTTCTGAACAGAAGTGATGCATTTTTCATACACAGCAATAGCTATTTGCTCATTATTTGATACTGTCAGTGTAGTTTGAAATAAGCATCCTGTGTTTTTTGGCTGTTATAGCTAGATGAGAACAAGAGCAGTTACATTTTAATGACTTAAAAACATGGTAGTCTTAGCTAAAAATGTGTGTATGCAAAATGGCTTTGATCTGTTGCTTGGGAGGTGAAGAAATTAGCATACATATTTTAGAGATTTTCATGAGCATACAAGTGATGAGAAGAGGGCACCAAAGCACCTGTTTGACACAAACACTGTGGACTTACTTCCCAAGAAATGTCTTCTGCTTTTGAGCCAAATGAAGGACTTGCATACAGGTGCTCACCTAGTGTCAACTTGATACGAGCCATCTGAGCATTTTGGGGGGGACTTTTGAATCCACTGCATTGATATGGGCTCTCACCACTCTCTTCTATGGCAAGGTCTTCAGCAGGTACCATCTCCTGTCCCAGCAGTGCTTCCCAGAATTCCCAGACTGGAAAGGATACTGCGTTCAGGCTGTACTTTCCAATGAGCAGCGTATGCAAGGACATGGTTTTGTGCTTTACCCAGAGTATAAAACTGACTGTGTGTGACCAAGATTATCCAGTCTTTTTCATGTCAGGCCTGATTTAGGCACTCTGAGGAAAAAAATAAAGGGAGGGGGAAAAACCAGTGGTTGCCTTTTCAACTTGACAGAGGTGTATCAGTAGATAGGGACTGATTTGTGCTCTCAAAGCAGCACTGCAAGTCCAGGAAAGATGGATGCTGGCTCACCCAGAAGCGACAGGTTAGGCCAGCGCCGGTGTAAAGTGGTAGCTGGGGCCAGTCCATTGAACATTAACCTGTTCTGTGCTATGCACATTGCTGCTTTGGCTCCTGCCACTAAAGCACATGACAGCCCATTCAGTGAGTACATTGATGGCTTCCCTTGCACTTGGGAAGCCATGGATGAAGGTTTAATTTAAACTGTTCAACACGGTAGGAAGGTTTGTGGTAGGGAAGCATGTCAGTGTCATCAGATCTGCAGCACTGAGCATCCTTTTCCATAGTCTACCAAAACCAGCTGGAAATCAAGGACTATTCCATTAGCATTAGAAAGAAGTACTGCTTCTGTCTTCTGTGGTATGCTTGCATGAATGGATCTGTGAGCACAGAATTATTTCTTCCATCATCATCCCAAGCAGAAAAGGCATAAGTAAGAGCCAAAAAATTTCTTTAAAAAACATTGTCTCTCACACACTATCCACAATGCCATTAACATGGCAACATTTGCAGCTTAATTATAGTTAAATGTAAGTTTATGTTTATAGTATGCAGGAAATGGTCTTGTTTGACTCTATATTGCAGAATCATCACAGTGCTTAGTAAATTTCTTAAAAACAGGCACTAAATTTAAATATAAAAAAAAGTAGAATCCTTCCACTCTAGATCATACTGATCCAGAAAGCACTGCCATTTCACCACACATTTGAATCTCAGCAATAGTGATTAAGGTGGTTGTGTGCAGTGACTATGGATATATAAAATTTCTCATCATGGCTGGGCTTCGCGAACGAAGATTTGGGAAGGCTCTATCCACATTTGCTACAGGCACGCTGGTGGCTTATGAGGCCAATACGTGACAGACATATCCGATTGCAAAAGGCACAGCAGAAAGACTCCTTAGATGGTGTATTCTGCAATATACGGTTCTTTCTGCGTTGCCTTTTTTCTTCGAGGGTGATCCTGCGTGTGTTCTCAAAGGAGACAGCTGCGTTATAGATGGTGTGTCTCCAGGCCTCCCGATTTGAGGCCAGAGTAGACCAGTTGTGGTGATCAATATGGCCAAGGCTGAGATGTTGTTTCAGGGAGTCCTTGTATCTTTTCTTCGGGGCTCCTCTCATGCGGCAGCCAGTGACAAGTTCACCGTAAAGCAAGATCTTAGTGCTGTCTACTCTCTTATATGGCTCCGAATCATGGGTCATCTACCGCCACCACCTGCGTCTCCTAGAACGCTTCCATCAACGCTGCCTCCGCACAATCCTAAACATCCACTGGTCAGACTATGTGACCAACACATCTGTTCTAGAGCAAGCAGCTATCACAAGTATTGAGGCCATGTTGATGAGAACACAGCTGCGATGGGCAGGGCATGTCTCCAGGATGAAGGACCACCGCCTCCCTAAAATTTCTAGAAGCTTGTGATAAACTGCAGGACCCCACTGTGACTGCAGAAAACATACCCATGTAACCTACACCAAGGGCCAAGCAGCCAAGCGGACGGAATTATTTTCTCTGTCAGAGAGACTGCAGCAAGTGTGTCTTGCTCAGCCAGAACCATTTGTATCAGAGAGCCCACTCTCTGGCGTGCTCAGTTAAATGCCTTTGTGGCTAGTTAAAAACAAAGCAATGTAGTGAATCTCTGATGCTTTTTACAAGTTTGTTTCCCATGATCCTAAGAGGAGCCACTAAACCATAACTGGCTGTCCTTAACCATCTGATGGCATTTAGTAGTCAGTAGTGGTCCTTTTAACAATGAACCTGTAGCTGCTCCATCAATACTTGGCATTTGTTTAGTGTTTTTACTGTTCTCTGCACAACAGGAGTTCAGCTGCTGAGCTGTCACTTCTCTGAGAACAGCTGGGCTTTAGCTAATACCTTGTGTAGTGGGAAGAAATCCAAACAAGATGCACATGAGTGTTTTTCAGATGTCTTTCCTGGAGTTTCTGGGAAAAAAAAAGTAGCCCATATATAACCTAAGGATGAACTCTGCAAAAGCACCTCCTCAGAGGAAGCTGAGGTATCACCAGGTGACACACACTCATTGAAAATAATGGAGTTTTTATCAGGTGCCAGAACACACAAAGATATACATAAAAGTGCAGCAATACTGGTGTTTAGATTAGATGTTTCAGAAAAGCCTCCCAAGAGAGCTTTATGCATGCTCCTGGGAACTGTCTGGCACACTGTGAACATCTGCAGGAAAGCCAAGTCTTGGGCTGCTAAGCAGCAACCTCAGAGGACTGCCCTGTGAAACTGAGAAACTTTTGCATAGTATTTCATGGGAATTTTTCAGCTATCCAGCAAACACAAACCCATAATTTTCACAGGCAGTGAGAGCAATTCCATCCTTCAGCTCTGAAACACACACATAGCTGGACACCAAACCAATGAAGAAGGTCCTTCTCCTCTTTCCATGTTGTCCTGGCTGCTAGCAGAAATGCCTTTTCTCTCCTAACATGAAGCAGCCAGACTTTTCTAAGGTTATGTGCCTGTGCACTCATGTGGAACTAATTACTTCTGCACTCATCAAGGCTCCTGTGGATGACGCTCCAAAAACTCTCTTGGGGTTTAAACACAATTGTCCCATACCACTGTCTGGCTAAGTAGGGTCCCTTCAAAGGACAGCACTAGGGTGAGAGCTGTCATTTATTTTCACCCCTCCAGGGCATCCTGAATGCCTAGCATTCCCTGTCACTGTGCTATCAGGTTGAGAGCAATATAAAATATTTACAATAAGCATTTTAAAACAGTCAATCCTGCACATAAAGTCTAGTACCACAAATGATGCTGTAGATTTCATAAGAAGATTTTCAGTGACAGGTAGGCATCTGTAGTGCAGGGTGTAGCATTACTAATTGATGATGGTTTCTGTCTCACATTGCTATTAAATGACCTGTGGGTGCATGTTCTAAATGAAGCATTTTCCATGCTTGGGACATTCATACTTGCTATGTATGAGATAGTTTTTATAATGTCTAATAAAATTTGAGTTCAGATTGCAATCCTCTCCTCACTGAACACATGCATCTTACTGGAAATTTCTCTGTGTAATAAATTTCTTCATAATTCACCAGAGGGCTCAGAAGTTACTGTGGGATGTACACAAAAAGCAGCATTATCACATCAGCCTCATTCCTTAAGAAAGCACGTTGAAAAAATGACTCCTGGATGCAGAGAAAGTTTCCTGCTCCTCTTCAGTATTAATTACAACCACAGTAATAGGTTTTGTGGTAAAGGATCATTCAAGCATGGAGTGGATATGTTGTACTTCATCAGTGTGTGGCACATGGGGCAGACCATTCTGTAATCCAGACATGGTGTCACGTTTGAGTCCACTCTATCTGGTCAACAGTGCCCAGATCTGGGCTACTGAAGTCTGTGGCAAAGCTGAGGTAAATTTTCAAAGTGCAGGTTTGAACACGAAATGTGAATTGAATACTAACATCTGTCAGAGATCTAAAACTTTTTTTTAGAGATGGGACCAAAACATTCAGAATTTTTTTCCTTTGATGTGCATTGGATTGGATTCTGTGCTGACTTCTTCAGTGTGTGTTCCTTGAGGTTCACTCTTCTTGGAGCTACTTAAGTATATAAAAAGAGAATTAAATTCATAAATGAATACATAATAGCAGCAAAAAACTAATGATGAGACCAAGCCATAACATTTGAAACATGCTAAGTATTTGAATTCTGTCATAGTGGGAAAGCACAATTATCTATCTAAGAC